TCATCTGTTCTTATTATTCAGGTTGGTCTGATTAAGGCTGAGTGATTTGTGTAACAGTCTAACTTGTTTTCTATAAGTTAAGCTATAGCACTAAGACAATGTAGTTCCTTCACATGTGAAAATAAAGCTAAATTATGGAGGCTATGATTTATTAAATAATACCACTAATACATAGCTAAGCAAGCTCTGGAAGCTGAAGCATTTGAAAGCTGAGGATGGATGGGAAAGTCTGTTTCCTTCAGACCCTCAAGCTTACTAAAGAAATCTGAGTGCTGTCTTAGCCTATTTCTTTATGTCCTGCTGGAGGTAGGAAAGACCAGACACAACAACCTGTCAGGTTTGTGAAATGATAGAGCATCTCCTTACATTAACAAATCCCTTGGGATGCTGTGATTTGTTTGGCTGGATGTTTCTGATCTGCCAGTGGTATCAGAGCCTGCGTAGGTTGCAGCATTTTAATAAAACCAGGTTTTACTTATCTAAAAGGAAGATCAAAATCAAGTCTGTATTGCAGCACTACCAAATTGTAAAAATAATTTTCAGCTCTCCAAACTGACCATTAACTTAGTTGCAGTATGGGAGGCCAGCACTGGATAAATGGAGAGGTGAAATAGGAGCTCTGAAATAGCTGCTCTCTGGTCAAGGATGTCATGGCAAACTTTGCCATACTACTTCTCTGTATATCCTAATCTGTTATTTCTCCCCATAAATTAGATTTTCCCTTTAAGGCAAGAGAGAAGGGATGGAAAAGGGTAATTTTGCTCTGATTTGGAACACAGTGCCCTGTCTCCTGTCTTTATTTATACAAGAGAATAAACAGAGATGGGAAATGAGAAGAGTGGAGTGGTGGTTCTCCTTAAAAGCCAGACAAGAGAAAGAGAACTCCTAGGGCATAGTAATGCTGGACAGAAGTATAAATTGGGAGAATTACATATTTTATCTTTTGGTTAGTTCTGAAGTGGTCAGACAGTTGGTCTGGATGATCATTGTAGGTGCCTTCTAACTGAAACCATTCTATCCATTCTCTCCTCTACCTTGCTGTCCTCAGAATGCTTCCCTAGTGGCTCCTAGTTAAGATTTCATTGTGCAGTCTTGCATTTCAGCTCCACAAGGGCAGTCAGAGTCGTGGAGGTTATTTGTGATTGGTGATGTTTATAGCGCCTGTATCTGCCAAAGCTCATGTTAGAACACCCAGTTTGTATCAGTGCTCATTTAGGGTGGGAAAAGGGAGTGTAGGGGAAGAGTTTTAAATAAACAGAGAAATGTGCTTTCATTTTAAACAGAGATGGTTCCGAGCAAAAATGCAGCGGCAGAGGTTTCTGAGGGCTCACCGAAGAGTGGTTGGGTTGCAGCGCGCGGTCCGGGGCTGGCTGCGCCGCAGGAACGCGGCAGCGGCCGTCATCCAGAGGAACGCGCGCGCATTCCTCGCCCGCACGCGCAGGAGGAAGCTGGCACTGGGAATAATTAAATTTCAGGTAAACACCTCTTGTAAGAAAATAATGGGTTTGGGTTCGTTTATTTTTATTATCTGGGGTTTTTTCGGTTTTTTTTTCTCATGGGTTTTTGGGGAGAGGAAAGATCTTTGCTTTGGTTGATGGCTTTATCAGTGAAATTGCAAGCCAAGTCAGCTTTGCTTTAGCCATGAAAGCTGAAGGCAAACAGATCATGAAGGAATACTAAGCAGATAATGGCTGAGATGATTTAGGTGGGAGTGTGTGTGGACTGGATATGCATGGATTTTTTTGCCTTTTGTCTTGCAAGTCCAGTATTTGAAAGATAAAAACTGAGTGTCAATGCCTTAAAACTGAATACCCAAGGTCACTCAATACTTTGTCAGACTTGTGTAAAACTGATTTGGAATGGTCATGGAAGTTCTATTGTCTTGTGTCTCTTTTACAACTTTTTCTCTTTGTGGAATTTCCTTTTCCATAGGCATTGTGGAGGGGATATTTTTGGAGAAAGATGACTGACACAGCAAAAACCAGAGCTTTAAGACGCAGTTTAGAAAAGGCCAATGAAAAGAGCAGAGAAGAAAACAAACTGGGCAACAGAACTGCAATTGCAATTGACCACCTTCTAAAATACAAACATCTCTCCTACATTCTTGCAGCACTAAAGCATCTCGGTCAGTATTTTGTTCTACTGTAACTGATGGATTTTCAGAAATAATGATAAAAACTGGATTTTTCGGCTGAGAAGAGCTCATACTGATGTTTGGGCTTTCTGCATGACTATAAAATGTGAACATTAGGGGGTATAATGGGGGGTTTTCCTGACTAAAATTAGATTATTGATTGAAGAACAATATTCAAATGGTTATGTAGAGAAAGGAAATTTTATATGACTGCGCTAATTTCCTATCAGTCCTAGTAGTGCTATACCTAGCATAAGTTTATTGTCATTATTTATTAGTGTATGTTCTCTGTGGGTCGTTTTGTCTGCTTCATTTTTAGTCTGGAATATTAATTTCTATTGCTTTAGAAACACTTACTTAAATGAATAATTGCAGTTTTTACTTTGCACTCTTACTTAAAAATAGAGAAAATCCTGGTTTGCAGTAATTTTGCAAACTTCAGAGTTTTCTCTACTTGTTTTTCTTTAATTGTTTTAGAGGTGGCCACCAGGCTGTCCCCACTGTGTTGTGAAAATATGGCTCAGAGCAGAGCAATCTTCAGTATTTTCGTTCTGATTCGAAGCTGCAACCGAAGTGTTCCATGCATGGATGTGATCAGATACTCAGTTCAGGTTCTACTCAATGTTTCAAAGGTAACTTGAATATTTTCTTTTCCAGGTTTAAAAGCAATAGGCTACTTTATTGTAGTACTTGTTTATCCACAAAATTTCTGAATAAATCTGGAGCAATGAAAGTAGTAGTTTTGAATAAAAATAGGTTCTGATTTTTTACTGTTATTTTGAAACCAGTTGTTTATTTACCTTGTAGTAATTATATGGAGTTTTTTGGTGAAAAAATTATTTCATGGCCTTAAGGCATTGCAAGCTGTCACAAATATTTTTAAATTTCTCTGAAATTATTCTAATTTATTTCTTTATTTTAAATATAAAACCAGATTCTATGGATTTCTAAACAAGACAGGAAACAAAAGGCACCTTTTTATAATCTGTTACAGTTGTGTAAATACAGAAGTGATTTGTATTGCTTGGATAGCAGTTCAGCTACAAATTTATTCTAGGGGAGAAAATGGGCTATTGCTTTTTCCTCTAACCTCTAAATAGTAACCTATGAACTAAGGATATTTTAAAGATCTGTCTATAGAAGCTCTCCCGTCTCTTGTTTAACAGTATGAAAGAACTACTCAAGCAGTTTATGAAGCTGAAAATTCTATAGATACTTTACTAGACCTACTGCAAATGTACAGAGGCAAAGCTGGGGACAAAGTTTCAGAGAAAGGAGGAAGCATTTTCACAAAGACCTGTTGTTTGTTGGCCATCCTTTCCAAGGACTCGAAAAGAGCTTTGGTAAGACCTAAATGTTTTGTGTTTAATGGTTTAATTTAGCATACTTTTCTTGCATATTTTGGTGGTTTTCTTCCCTCCCATACCTGTTATGGCTGTAGTATTAATTTCGACTAAACTATGGTTTAAAAAAATGCTTTTTCAAGATGGTGAACACTCATATTTTCTTGATTTAAGATGTTGTTGAGCTTGCAGTATTGACTGTGTGCTGTTTTCACCTTTCCTCAGGAAATCAGAGGCATGCCAAGAACTGTTTCTTGCATCCAGAGCCTCTACAAACTCACAGCTCGGAAACACAGGATGGATGCAGAGAGAATACTTGTCAAGCAGAAAACAAACACTGCCTTAGGTGGGAGCTCCTCTGTCCCAGTAACTCCTCTAAGAATAAAAACAGTTTCAAGGTAAGTGCTTAAAAATTAGTCTTCTATTTCTGCTGTGACATTGAAATATTTTAATGCAAGCCACTAATCTTTTCACAGGATTAAACCAGACTGGGTCTTGAGGAAAGATAACATGCAAGAAGTCGTGGATCCTCTGCAAGCAATTGTGATGGTGATGGACACACTTGGTATTGCCTGCTACTGAAATGTAAATGATGTATAGGAAGATATATTTGTACAGTATGTATGTAGTAAATGGATAAATGATTTTTTTTAAAAAGCAAATAAGTGTTAAACTACTGTTGGAAGTGTTTTTTCAGATTGGTATTAATATTTTGGTAACTTTTTGTGTTGCATACAGTTTTGAAACCCTATTTTGTACTACTGTCAAAAGCAATTGTACAATAAAATCAGTTAACTGGATTTTACTGGAAATTTCACTGGTGCAGTAATATATTGTTGTCACACAACTGTCACTATTGCAAACAGCATTCTTCACTCTGATTAGATATTGTAGAATTCTATTAAAAGCAGATGTTTGTGGGGGACAGTAATGTCTGATCTAGAGAGGTGTAGAAAGGGAGGCTTGGGCTGTGGATTTCAAAACTGACTGGTTTTGGGGAGCTTGATAATTTCTCTGTTTTGTAAACATTGCAAGACAGTGATGGAACAACAGGATGTTGTAAGGGTGAATTTAGAAATTATGACCTGACATTTTAAGGGAAATGATCTGTGAGTTTTTTCTTCCTATCAAGGGAGGAATACATACAAGCATGCATCTCCTCTGGCATTGTGTTCATCTAGGTTGTGTTCATCACAGCATCCCTGTGCATTCTGTTCTCTTCTGCATTTTCAGAATTACATTTTCTTAGAGAAAGGCCAAGATAATGCAAACTGTAAAATTATACCCTCCCATTCCCAAATTTAAGCTTTGTATCTCTAATTATGCTAAATCAACTGATAACTATTAGTCAGTGAGGTGACTGTAAATAAAGTTCATTTTTTGTTTTGGTTTTGTTTAAAAAAATGCTTGGAAGAGGCTTGCTGTATTCAACACAACTCAGACAGATAATACTAATGGTGGCTATGTTGTTCATGTATGAAACTCCAAAATCATGAATATCCATAGCATGCAACTGCCTGGTTTACTCAGGGGCTAGGCTGGAGGATGGGGGAATTGTCTATCTCCTCTGATTTCAGCCAAGGTAAATAATCTGATAACAGAATGCCCTTTAAACCTGGGACTCTGGAGGTTGTGAAGGGAACAGTGATCAGCAAGTTTAAATTGTTCCATAAGCTCGTTGCCTGATTTCACTGTAAAATGATAAATTACAGATGGCAAAGTGTAAGAATCCTGCCAGTCTAGTGCTAAGGTCTTTGCAGAACTAATATGAATGAAAATAGTTTTTCTAGTGAATTAACTTGCGACAAAATACCATAGACATTAAGGCATTTGTTGAATACCTTTAAAAATTCAGTTAATTATTTACAAAAGTAATACTTAGGGAGTTTTCAGAGGTGGTGGAAACTGTACATGGAGAGAGTAATGAAGATGAGATTTAAAAGCTATTTTATCTTCTTAGTTATGGTGTGTTCAGGCAAACTCTTTGCAGAAGGTAAATACACTGAATTCTATTGTTCATTTGAATCTAGAATATGCAATCTTGGTAACTTAAGTGCATTGTCTTTCATCTCTTTACTGAGTAAACCCTGGTTTATAAATTTAAATGCAATTCTGTTTTGACATGGCTGATGATCACAATTCAGCTGTTGCTGATTCCTGTCGAAGCCGCAAGTTGTAATATTGAAATGTTCGACTTCAGTTCAGAAGAAATTTCTTTAGAAATGTCTTTGAGCTGTTTCGAGGCACTTACACAAATTGAAACTTGTACTATTAAAACATTTTATATATTGAAGTGTCTTGGGATTGAAATATTTTCACTTTGTTACTAAGCAAAATCGTGGAAGTTAACTGGAACCTGCAGAAGTTAATCTGGGGTGGTCCTGCATTTTCTATCCCTATTTTCAGCACTGATGTCTTCTTTTGGTTGTTGTTTTTAGTTTTTTTGTTTTGATTTTGTTATTTTGAGGTTTCTTTAAGTAACCTAATGTCATATTCAGCATTACTCTTTAAAAAGGTTTTCTCCTATTATTGGGGGATTGTTGGGTTTGGTTTTTTTTTTTAATTGCCATTCTGCTTGTTTTTTCCTTAATCTCTGTTTCTTTTTTTCTTTTCTGTCAACTGTTCTTAAATTCCTTTTCTTAAGCAAGCCTAACTCCTGTATTGCCTCCTAGCAGCTTGTTCTACTTTTCTGGTTACATTTTCTGAATTGAGGAGCTGAGGCACTGCTCACTGAATTTTACAGTAGGTGTGTTTGTGCAGCAAAGGGTTCTCATGCTCCTGGGCAAAAGAGAGTAAAGTAAAGGTGTCCTGCATCAGTTCTGCCCAGTTCACATTAGGAGGTTTTATTCTACAGCTGATATTCTTGTGAACCCTAAGAGCAAAAGCTGATAAAATTGTAGTATGTCTTCATTTCAGCAGGTCCTAAAAGGCCCTTCATGCTTGTAAGTATTCAGAATTTTGTTCTTGTTTGAAAGCCTGGATCAGTCAAGCTAAGATTAGATAAATTAATGAAAAAACATTAATATCTGAGCTGAAATTTTTAGTGGGAAATATATTGATCTTTTTGCAGATACATCTTGTGATTTGCCACAGATAGAAAATGGAAATCTTGCCCAGTACTATTACAGTTTCAAAAGTTACTATTTCCCTATGCAAAAAGGAAAAAAGCTCTCCTATTCTTGTGTGGTTGGTCACACAACTGAAAGTGGGACTCAAGAGGGAAGAATAACTTGTACAGCCAAAGGATGGTCTCCATTGCCACGATGCTACAGTGAGTTAGCTTTATTCATCTCCTCATTGCTTCCAGCAGGAACATTACCCAGGCTGGTTTTCCTGGGACATAGAGGAAAAGAAGCTGCATTACAGAAGGGATAACATGTACACGGTGCAATCAATTATTCATGCTGAGACTATTCATACATAGGTTTATGTATGGACTATTACAATAATGCATATTTTAAGGGCATGTACCCATTTGTATTTTTTTATATGAACATAAAGTTTTCCAGTTTTCTTGGACTGGGAAAACTATTAGTTTTCCCTTAGAGGTATAACTTCTTGAGTCTCCCTAGCCCTAGATTCCTTGGCTGTATTCCATGTGGTTATTGGTGGTTTGATGTATTGTTTGATGATTGGAGCTGAGTTCAATAGGTCGAGAAAATCAGATCAGTATAGCTACAGTATTCCATTCTTTCCTTCTGACCAAGCTGTCTTGTTTCCTTCAGGAAAATGCACCAAGCCTCATTTGGAAAATGGCTCTTTTTACAGTACAGAAATGGACTTTAAAATCCATGAGAAATTGCAATACAAATGTAACCCAGGCTACCACACCCCAAGTGGTGCTACTGAAGATACAGTGCAGTGTCAGCCACAAGGATGGTCCTTCCAGCCGAGCTGTACTAAAAAACTTGGTAGTATTCTGCATTTTTCTCCTTCCTAATCTATTGCAGATGTATATAACCCCGCTGTCCTTGCTGTACTTGTAGGCCCGAACTGCCTCTGACAGGCTGTTATTTGAGTACTCCTAAAGCAGGTTCTCAGCTGTACCTCTGGGGAAAAACTTGTCAGGTTTCACATGCTGCGGGTTTTGTGCATTTGCAATGGTATGGAAAATGATACATGTAAAATGAATCTGTAGAGATGAAATCACACTGTGTCAAGTAAATCCATTGCCATACAAACTTTCTGTTCCAAACGACGAGCGGAAAACTTGTGCCAACAACTGCACTTGTAGTTATTCCTTATTTACCAAGATTTTGCCTGGGCTATGGTTGCTTTTAAGGCGTGTCTAAGGGGAAACTTCGGAGTAGTCACCACAAAAAGAGCAGTTAACATCACGGCTGTGTTTTGTTTGTTTGAGAGTCGTGCCGGGTGCCCAGGTTACAGCACGGCAGCTACTCCGGGGCGGAGCAGGAGGTGCGGCTGAACGGGACGCTGCGGTACCGCTGCGAGCACGGCTTCCGAAGCGCCGAGGGGAGCGCCGCCGCCACCGCGCTGTGCCTCGCACACGGCTGGCACCGCGTCCCCAGCTGCACCAGTACGTCACTGAAAAATGCTTTATTCTACACGCCAAAGGGGCTTCTTCCATCAGCTGGTGGAGGGAGCCCTCCTCAGCTGGTTTTCACTGCTGTGTTTTCCTCCCAGGGATAACTTGTCCCACTTTGAGTGAAGTGGCTCATGGAGGTTTCTATCCTGTGGAGAAGATCTATGAAGAAGGAGATGTAGTTCACTTTTTCTGTGACAAACATTATTCTCTCACTGGATTTGACTTAATTCAATGCTATAATTTTGGGTGGTATCCAGACCCTCCAGTGTGTGAAGGTACCCTGCTTTTATAGTTTTACTGTGTCAAATTCTTAGAGAGAAGCTCACACCTTCTTTCAAGAAATGCTTTATAAATACAAAGTAAAAATACGGGATTTGTACCAGTTTGTAGCCTATTGTAAATCAAGTGTTAGTCAAAGGGCAGGGAGCCAAGGTAGCAGGAAGGGAGGCAGTAGTAATTGGAATTACATTTCAGTGAACCCTAACAGCAGAGCAGATACTGTCTCTTACTGTTCTCCAAGTTGTATCCTGGAGAAGCAGGAATCAACAGTTACAGGGAATTTTTTAGACCCTGAAGCTCAATAAACTGTGTTCAGAATACATGAAGATTTAACCAGGCCTGCTTAATCCTGCCTCATGAGATGGGGATGTACCTCTTGAGAGGGATTAAAAATAAAATTTGTAACAAGGTCTTCCTTAGCTTGTGGTACTTTTCAGAGTTGTACAGCTTCCTTAAACTTTGTTTGTTTTGAACAGAATTAATTAAAAGATTGTCCTGAGGACAGAAACACGCCTTTAGCAATTGCTATCACTTCCCCAGTCAGTGAGGGATAATGGAAAGTCTCAGTAAAGAAAGGTCCAAAAGAATGAAAGGTGAACCAGTTGAGATACAGAGAAGAAAGCAGCACAAAACAACCTTTACTACAGCTTAGACTCAGCCCTGTGTTTATTCTCATGACACAGCAGGAACTTTTCTTGAGTGAGTGCAGAGAAGGTGGAGATGCTCAGGAGGAGCCTGAAAACAAGGCCTAAATCTACTTTTGAGGATACAGTAATCACAAACCTAATTTAGAGACAGGAAATGGACTATGATTATTGCTTCTTCTGTAGCACTAGAATTAATACATAATCTGTTTTAAATATTATATGAATGGAGAGTATGGGAAATCTCTATTTCCTGGAGTCCTATAAAGAACATTTTATTAAGTCTCTGTGGAGAAATTACAAATTTGTTTATAGCAGTGACATAGTACTTCTATTTTACATTTGTGGAATGCAAAATCACTTGTTCAGGTCTCCCATTGTATTAAGAAAATTTTATTTAGAAATTAGTCTGGCTTAGCCAAAAAAGCCTTTTGAGTGATAGGCTTACACTGGGTATGGTGAGCTTAATTGTGTACGTGGTTTTGGTAAGGGAGATAACGATAAAAAAAAATTTATTTTCAGATGTAAAACATAAATGTCCTCCACCACCACTCCCTCATGGCCATATCAGCACAGCCAGAAGAACATATCATAATGGAGACAAAGTTCATGTACAGTGTACCTTGGGAAGGAGAGGCTCTGAGGAAATCCAGTGTGAAGGAGGAAAATGGACATCACCCTCTGTCTGTATTGGTGAGTACTTCTGTGAAGGCTGACAACTGAACTGAAATGATTCTTCAATCCTTAATTTTCTGGAGAGTCTCAGTTTCTGTATGTGCAAAATTGTTACCATTCCTCTCCTAAAAGGCTTGAGAGGCAAAGTGCTGCATATTTTGCAGGCAATCCTTGGTTCCCAGATTAAAAAGGATGAGCTAGGTGAATTCAGCTGCCACCTATGACATCTTCTGTGGAAAACTGGGATTATTAAATTTTACAATGCATCATGTCTGTCTGTTTTAGTATTTAAAATTAGCTGTTTCTGTGAAAACTAGTTCTGAGTCTCTGCTGTGGTTACAGGAACTGTGGATAAACAGGAATCTGGGGCATCACCACCACTCGAGGCAGATGCAGAAATAAGGGCAAGCCAAACACATCACAATGAAGATATGAGTAGGTGAACATTGCTCTTCTATTTAAAAGGGACTCTCCAATCCAATTATAAGCATTTTATGACTACTTTTATTCTTTTGCTATAGGGCAGTTCCTTATTCTTGAGAATGTTTGCACGAGCTGCAGATGTCAACGTACCCAAAAATAAGAGGCCATTTTTGTGTATTTCTAAATGACACAATACAATTACAATAAGCCTGCTCTGAATTTGTAATTTTATTTCATACAGAGCACTTACTTTCAGTCATTTTGTACCTTCAATATTATTTGGACATGCAAGTTCATGAGTATTTTGTTGTTCCTTTGATTAATATTTCCAAAGAGGGTTCTTCTGGTTTTTTTTGAACCACACATAGATGAAACATTTCAAGTAACAAATGAGATGGTCTAGGTCACATAAAAAGAACTAATCTGTATTGAGTGTAAACCAGCAAGGTCAAAAGTAGCCATAGATGTAGAGGGAAATAAAATGCATGTCTGCAATTCAGAAAGGCAAGTGTAGAATTTCTGAAAATGAAATTTGGAAAAGGAATTATATTGGTTTAGATTTTGTTTGCAAGTTTTTTTACTCAGTCTAGTATTGCTCTAATCCTTTCACCAGTGTTAACAATGTTGTACTCTAATCAAGATCTAATTGCCTCTCTATCTCATATCAGAAATGCAGCAAGACTGTGCCTCTCCACCTGTGATTAAAAATGGGGGTGTCCTGGGCCCATTATTGGCAAGTTACAAAAACGGTTCCTGGGTAGAATATGTTTGTCAGCATTACCACTTTTTGGATGGGCCCAGTACTGTTTATTGTGACCATGGAAACTGGACAGAGCAACCAACATGCTTAGGTGAGTGTTGGAAGGAAAAGCAAGGTTTATCATATGTAATATAAAAAGGGAAAATTAGAAGGAACCTCTAAATAATGTTTTCGTTACCATCTTTTCTCTTTTATTGGAGCTAAAAAAGATTCCAGAAACATGAGGATGAACAAAATTAGATTTTTAGCAGGCCTCTCCTGCTGGGTATCCTCTGGCCTGTTCTTAAAACCACACAATTAAATAGATTCCTCTGTTTCCTGAGTGAGCTATTCTAGTATACAGCTATCCCTGTTTCCTGGGAGGATTCTCCAATTTCTTTCCTCCATATTGTCCATTCACTTTAATTTCTTCCTGTCTTTCAGTAGATGATTAGAAGGAATGGTGTGGCCATTCCCAAAATGGCTTTTAGATATAATTTACAAGAATTAGCAATGACTTCATGGACTTTTGTTTTTAAACTTTCAGGCCTTTTTTTTTTTTTTTTAATTGTGTCTTTATATCTGTTGTTTCATCCTGGCCTGGACTTTCAAATTTTTCTGTGGTGCTTTTATGTATGCTGCTCAAAACAATGTATAGAACTCCCACTAGAAAATTACCAATGCTAGTAGGAATACAAACAAGTGTTGTTTGTTTATCTTTCCTTCCTTCCTCTAATGAAATAATTCAATTTTACTAACATCGTTTGTTAAATTGGCTCACCTTTCAGTTTGTAATCTACCATGAAAATGAAAATACACAATCAGTTCAGTTTTAATTGCATATTTCTAAATGAACAGAAGTTACCTCTTCTAGACTGAAAGGTCCAGGTCTTCATCTTTGGATCTGATTACCTGAATTTAACAAATCCTGTGAAATAATGAAATCTCATTTCCTGTGAGCATTATTTGTCTCTTAAGTATCCCAATAAGCTCATCATCCTTTGCGTGTTTTCTGAGATTTCTTTTCCGTGCTCACCTAATCATACCAGAAAGAGCACACACTGATGTTAGCTTTGGGAAAATTCCATGTGAATTTGGTGTTACACTGCTGTCACCAGACTGCCAGTAACCGAGTTCTCCTTGCCTTTCCCTCAGCAAAGCATCACTAAGGGCCTTTATCAGCCAATGATTCCCATGGAACTTGTAGAAATTTATTTTTGTAGGTGACCCTCTGTTATGCTTTAGTGATGTTGAGCAGTGGTTTTGGAAGTACACAAGGTTAATCATCTAATGCAAAGCTACACTCCTCCATGTGATCCTGGCACTGAGTTTTAAGAACTTGTCAGATCCATTCCTTTTGCATGTGCTTGGTTTTTGTTGTCACTTCAGACCATTTCTTTCCATTTGCATTCTTTTATACATCTGTAGTTCTTTGTCTTGCAAGATTCAGAAGCATTTTAAAACTACTGATTTGGGGTTCTCTTTCTTCACCCCTACAAAAGGGAGCTAAGAAATCATTTAAGGTGGCTTTTTACCAAAATACACTTTTATTTGCTAGAACCATGTATTCTTAATGTAACTGATATGGACAGCAACAACTTAACATTGAAATGGAGACGGGAAGAATTAATTTTCCTACATGGAGATCTCATCGAGTTTGAATGTAAACAGGGATATGGTTTTCTCCAGACTGCCATTCCATCTCCTGGGAGGACACAGTGTGACCATGGCAGACTGAAATATCCAAAATGTGTTATTCAAGGTAAAGCAGTAATTTTTTATTGTGTTTTTAGTTAATCCATCTTAGACCTATTTAGAAATTATTTGCTTTGCTTTTTTTGGGCCTGGACTCTGTTGTAAATAATCAGTGCTTAGGCTTCAACAAGACAGATGCACAAGGCAACTGTATTGTTGAATATAGCCAAGTTTGGAGAAATGATACACCTTCCTTTGCTTGGCAAGGCTGTAGAAGGGAAGGGGAAGCTCTTCTCTGAGCCCAGGAAACTGAAAGCTCTGTAGAGGGAGAGCTGTAAAAAGAAAACCTTCATGTTAATTTAATTTATGATAAAGGTGTCAGTTTATTAGTTTATTATTCTTAAACGTTTTTATTGTTATTGCAGCTGCTGCAGAAAAATGTGGCTCTCCACCCTCTATTGCAAATGGAGCTCTTACTCTCCCAGCACTGCCCCAGTATGACAGTGGCTCTTCAGTTCAGTATATTTGCTCTGATTATCACTTTTTGCAAGGCTCTGAGAGAATCTACTGCTCCGAAGGACAATGGACTTCGCCACCAGTTTGTATAGGTAGGTGTGATAAATAAGCACTTAATTTCTCTGTATTTCCTTGAGTTCACAGCCTCAAGGAGCAGCCTGGTAGTGACCTGCAAGGGCCATCTAGTCCAATCCCCTGCAATGAGCAGGGCTGCTCAGAGCCCTGTCCAGCCTGGCCTTGGCTGTTCCCAGGAATGGGGCAACCACTGCCTTTCTGGGAAAGGGGAGAACAGGGAAAACTGTTCCAGTGTTTTACCACTCTCACTGGTGGTAGTGTCTTCCCTGTATCTAGGCTGAATCTATGCTCTCTTAGTTTAACACACCATTATCCCCTGTCCTATTGCTCCAGACCCTACTGAAAAGTCTGTCTTCATCTTTCTTACAAGCCTCTTTCAGGTTCTGGAAGGGTGCAGTGAGGTCTCCCTGGATCCTTCTTTTGCCCTGGCTGAACAACCCCAATTCTCTCTAAAATCAGATACAATTCACAATAGAACTTTTAAATCTCAATTTCAGGGTCTTCAGTGACATATGAAAGTTTTAATAGAAGCCAGTTAAGCTCCTCTGGTGGTTTTTTTATTTCCTTAACTATGATAGGCCTGCAGTATAATAAGACAATAGGAAATAATTTACAGTTTTAGTCTAGCCTGCTCAAAATATTCTGTTCCAAAAAGAATCAATTTATTGGCACTGATCAAGTTTCTTTTTTTTAGAGCCGTGCACTTTATCAAAAACTGAAATGGAGAAAAATAATGTGCTGCTGCAAGCATTCTATGCAGACCAAGTTTACTTTTACCACGGGGATTATGTTGGATTTTACTGCAAACAGAACCATTTTGGAGCAGAATCTGGCACAACTTTATTTCAAGTACAGTGTAATAACGGACAGCTGGCATATCCAAGGTGTGTTGAAAGAGGAAAGCAAGTATGGACTTGAGGAAAACCTGTAGGAAAGGTATGTACCTGTTCTTTATTTCTTATTAACAGGTGCATTAGGGTGGCCTCGTGTTCTCCAGGTCACTCCACTCAGTTCTGGGAAATGAGTGCTGAGTCTGAGCTGGAGGGGGACAGAAGGGAAAGGCCTTTGTGGGATGAGGATGAGCAGTGCAGCACAGGGATGCACTATTGGCATACACATGGAGGAAGCTGGAGGAAAGAGTTGTACATCTTAACAGCAATCATGTCTCCCCAGGTAAAGAGCCTTGGAAGGACTGAGCTTGAGGAACAACAGAAAACAGCAAGTATAAAAAAAGTTTTTAAGGGATCTGTAAAACTACTTAAAAAGTATACAAATTTACTGAGAAGTTAATAATTATTTTAAGAATATTAAAATCCAAGTACTTAGTATGATTTCCTATGACACTTAAATACTGAATTCTTAAGGTTCTGCCTGAGAACAAGTGTGTCTACATCTCTGAAGAAAATCCAGGAATATGGACAATGTTTGCTTTGCATCCATTTTAGTCTGTTTTAATAAAAAAGCCACTCTAAGGGTGTCTCCTGTCTTTTATGTCTCATCTGTCTGTGAAATCATGGCATGTATGGTGCTCTGTATGGATTTCCAAGGGTTACATGAATGAATAAGACAGAAAAAGAAATGAAAGCATTCAGGAATAGAGAAATTCTGCTTATTTAGTCAAAACCCAGTCGACCAAGAGGTAGAAAAAAAGGTTGATAAAAATACTTTACACAATGTATATAACAGCAATAACCTTCCTCTTACAGAGCAAACAGAGGCAAATGGAGCAAAAGGGACTAAAAGGCCCTTGCTAGAACAGCTGTTGGAAACAGAATTCATTTACCCCCATCACTTCCTCTGGATGTGCACAAAACCCTGGCTGTGACTGTGAGCACAGGACAGAACAGTTCAACAAGATGAACTCTGAGGCAAAGAATGCATCAAATACTCGACCTTCATGTGGGGCTGCTGCCACTAACTCACCTACCTGTTTTAGTGACATGCCACATCTTCTTATTGATTGTTTTAATCCTAGTGTACCTTATGTCCCTTGTAAGTGCCACTCTGATCTTCCTCTTTTCTAACATTATCCATACATGCCACATCAATGCCATGGACAGCTCATCTTGGAGCCTGTTTATGCCTCAATCCCCTGTACATTGATTTCTGCTTCAGAGATCTCTGTGAAGTCTCTGATGAGATAAGCCAGTCCAGTTAGATGTGGTTTTCCTCCTGAAGATGAGAACTGAAGACTATTGAGCTTGCAGGATTCTATGCTTCAAGACCTCTAAGCTTTTCTGGACTCATATGACTCCCACACACTCTCATCTCCTCTTCTCCTAAATAAGTCAAAGTCTGCTCACCTAAGGTGTATGATTTGTACTCTGGTACCTGTTTTTTTCTCTCCCTTCTGAAGCAGGGAGTGCATTAGCACATGGCTACCACAGCCAGGCTGCCACTGATTTCCACAAGCACTTTCTCCTTGTTTGGGAAGGGCAGATGGGGCAGCACAGACTGCTCCATCCAGGACCTGGACCAGGAACTAGTCCCCACTTTCACCTAGATATCCCAATTACTTACACCCCAACATCTTGCCTTTGCAGGCAAGATCTGGCTCAAGTCCCCCCAGAAGAACTGGTTCTGGCTAGAGACTTCCTCAAGCTGTTCAAAGGAGACTCCACTTACTTGTTCTTTCTGCTCAGGCACTCAGGACACTCACCCCAGGCTCATTTCCAAGCAAGAGCATGGAGAAGAAGGTAGGAATAGACAAGGCCAAACACACTTTGTGTGCTGATAATCAAATTACCTGTCAGCTTTAATTCTTGTCTCAGTATGCCATCAAAGCCAGCTTGTTTTCAGGACACAATTGTTAATAAAAATAACAGTGAGATCAGTATAGAATGGATAAAATGCAAGCACAACCCTTTGGCTGCATAAAATGTAAATACATTTACAAAACTAGATCTGATGTGGATAATATGCAAACACAACCATCCAGTACTAAAACCAAGAACAAATTCCAAGACAGAAGCTTGGCTAAGCTGCAAAGCACAGAAAAATGGGGAAGACCAGGAAACATTGAGCTCAGATTACTGGGTTTCTTGAGGGCTCTTCCGTTTCCACAGCTGGGCTCCCTCCTGTCATTTCCATTTACCCCCACCATGATGATGCTGTGTAAAGAGGAAAAAAGGGGAAAAAGACATGAATCCAAATCCTGACAGACCCCAAGGGCTCCTCAGAGCAGTGAGCAGGCAATATCAGCAGAACTGCCTCCTACAACCCCCGCCCCATGCCTTTGGCAGCAAGCTCTTACGTTCACACTGAGGATATGTAATCACTCCATTCATGCACTGTGCTCTGAAGGTCTCTCTCGGGGAACCCTGCTGGAACCCATTCTTGCACTCAAACACAATGGAGTCCCCTGAGTGATAGTATCTGCTTGGTGAGCTGCGTGAGTGCAACCGAATGTTGTTACTGTTCATGGTTTTCCAATCCAAGAAACAGTTTCCTGCAAAAAAAACCTTCTGGTGTTAGCCTGTAGATCTCACACTGGACAACTGATGCTCTGTTGGCACCGAGTGCCCCAAGTGCCCTTTCCCCAGCAGTCTCCCCAGCTCAGGTGTGCTGGGCCATGAATTCTTGGGGGCACTACCCCTCCATTCCTGCAGCTTCCAGAAAGCTCCCACACCCTGGCTCAGGGCCGGGAAAGGCAAGGGCTTTCTGCTTCCCTCCAGCACTGAAAATACAACAACAGAGCAGCAAAGCTGAAGAGGGGATGACTTACTTCCTGGTGTGCACCGTGGGTATTCCAGTGTCCCCTCCACACACTGTGCTCTGAAGCTAGAGGAACTTGTGTTTTGCAAATATCCCGGTTTACAACGGAATTCAATATAGTCACCCGATGTGGAGTACAGCTTGCTTTGTGCAACCCATTTCAGCTCAATATTGTTTCTGTCCATATCTTCTTCTGATGCCGTACAGGCCACTTGAAAAATCAAGAGAAGAATCTCAGCGCTTCATAGAGACATACCACATGTAACTGTTATGGCCCTAGAGCCTACAGAAGTTCTTCACATAAAAAAATGCTTCCGAGTATGTGCTCTGAACCTCTGTTACTTGCAACAGAAAAGACATTCTCACATCCAAGCTAAAGGGAAAAAAAAAAAAAGCCCTGGGAGAAGTCTTGTCACAGGGACAGTCAGGGCACGAATGAAGCACAGGTGGGGAAGACACCAGGCACCAATGAACTTCCCCATATATTTTTTGAGATTCCTCCTTCCCTTCTGCTCAGTACTTCTCTAAATTTGTTTTGTCATCCTGGAGGCACCCTTGGCTTTGCCCAGGTTTGCCACTCATGCAGACCCATCCTCCCAGCTCACAGCCTGCTGGGTGGAGCTGTGTCCCCAGCCCGAGAGCACTCAGGAGCTCTGCACAAGTAATGGAGATCCCCTCACAGGGACGGTTCGGCCACCTCCCCTCCTCGTGCACCTCTTGGCAGCAGAGGGGACTACACAAGCTGAATTTAAGAAGAAATTTCTTTGGGACAAATAGGAGGACTCACTGCCTTTCTGCCCTGCCAGCATTGTGGCCCCAGCACCAGTGCTGCCCTCGGGGTCTGAGAAGAAGACAAGAGGAGCAGTAACAGAGCCTTTGGCCCCCCAGCACATGCTTCAACCTACCCAGGCAAACTGGGGGGCTTGTCCACTGCTCATTAAGACAGGTGATTGTTGGAGATCCTTTTAAGATATAGAAATCCGGGCATTTGTATTCCACAGTATCACCTTGTTGATATTCTTGCATGGGGAAGACAAGAAGCTCTCCACTTTGAATAACTGGAGGTGTGCCACATCTTCCAGCTTGTCCTGAAAGAAATTTTCCAATCAGAGAGGAAGTTTGACTGCAGAGAAGGTCTGGTCAGAAATCCCACCCACACTATGTTGGCACTACTCAGAGAAGTGGAGGAAAACAGAGAGGAAACAAAACTGCTGGCAGGACTAAGAGTTTCTCATTTCTCCAATGTTCAGGCTCACAATTGCCAGCTAACCTCATCTGGGCACTGCTTAAGTGCTTGTAGTTGTCTGCAGGATTTCATCTTGTCCTGCATAAGGTGTGGCACTTGGCCCTCTTGAGTGAAGCCACCTGGGTCACTCAACTTGGTAAACTCATCCCATCTGAACAGAGACCTGCGAAAATGGCCTTGTCCTGACTGTGCCAGAGCCAGAGCTGTGCACCATGAGGGCACTGAGCTGCTAAATTACAATGAGGCAGCTTTATGATGCTATCTCTGACAGGAGGCTGGATAGAGAGAGAAAGAGAAATTACCTTTGCATTTTGGTAGCTCTGTCCAGGTCCCATTCTGGCACACTACAGTGGAATTCCCAGTCATCTTAAAATTTTTCCAGCACTGATACTCTGCACTCTCCCCAGGGACATACCTGGACTTTTTAATACCTTTAATTCCACCACCAGCAATTTCTGGAGGAGGTTCACATGTCACATCTGAAAAGAGACATTGCTGCAGTCACCTGTGCAGATTTTAAGATACTCATCTATACAACCAGAAGTGAAAGGAATTAGCCTTGTTACAATTTCTGTACAGATTTTCTGCCTCAGGTGGGTCACAGGAGTTCACCATGGGGAAAGCAATGAGGTATGGAAATGTCAGCAGAACACCGGGACTCTCAGGAAACGGCAGGGTCAATAGGAGTTTCTAGAAAAAGCCAGTGTTTCTCTACTTATGCACAAGAGCCACACCAGCCTTGTCTCTTGTCTCTCAGGGGAACCCTGGCCTTCCTGGAAACCACAGTGGTAGCAGCCAAACTGATTCCCTGCTGAAGTGCAGACCTCTGGAGGGCTGGTGGTGCCGGAGGAGCTTGTCAGCCTGTGCTGCTGGGAAAGCACAGCCAGCTCCACAGAGCTGTGCTCACCCTGCAGACACAGACTGGGACGGGGACTCTGGAGCACAGCTCCTGAACGTTCCTTGTCACAGGAACAATCTTTCCACTTCCATGGCCCTAGGAGATCTTACATGGTTTAGATCTGGCTCTCTGCTGGGGTCTGCATTGGTCAGAGTGGAGCACTGCAGAAGAAGAGCTGCTTCTCTAACCTACAACTGCTTCCATTCAGCTTTGAACATAAGAGAGAAGCCTTTTTGTGTCTGTCCACTGAAAGTCACTGAAGTGGTGGACACTGGGGAAATACCAACAGTATACAGGAGAATGACAGAGGAGCACATTTTAGGCCCTGCTGCTTCGGAACGTTTTTGCTATTGATGGAAATATTCCCAGTATCTCTAGAAGCATAAAGTTTAATTAAAGTGCTGTGCAAGGAAGCAATAGTAAGCTCAAAGTTGGGGTAGCCAAAGAAAACAAGTAAAAAAGGCAAAGTCTTTAGAGTATTTGGGTAGAGAGCTGGTTGTTTCCATGCTAACAGGCAAGGGGAAAGCACAGATTCCTACCTCTGCAAACTGGTGCTTCTGACCATTGACCACTTGAACAAAAGACGTAACTTCTATCTGCCATCTGAAAATTGC